TGTGACGCCACAGCACTCTACTGAGCGCGCCAAAGTGAGACTCTGTCTCTAAAAAACACCCCCCCCCCAAAAAAAACCAGGCTTTATACAAATTCTGGGCAGAGCAAGTGAGATATACAAAGGTACAGTGCTGTGACCAAACAGGACCAGTGAATGAGACACAGGCAGAGGTTTAGCCAATTTTAACCTGTGTGCACACCCATCCTAGCTTTGTTGTTTCATTATCATCATCCTTGGACTAACTTCAGAAGAGCCATGCTGGCTTCTACACACAGCGATGTCACAGAATGTGGCGGGAGTGTGGGAAATGCACTGAGAACTAGGAGATAGGAGACTACAACTTGAGTGAGGATAGAGTGTGATTGGCTTTATTTGCCATTCTAAATTTTATTTGGTCATTGAAGGGACCCTGGAAGCTCTGATTCTTTGAGAGTCATCTTGTACCAGAACCACAGAATGTATATTAGTTCTAAACCATTCATACTAAATTGAGAGACTCTAAACTTCCACTAAAGTGCTCCTAAGAGTTGACAAAAATGGATGCTTGTCTTTAGTTGATAAAGGTCCCCTATATTTCTAAGATTTCTTGGAACTACCCATTTTATCCTAAAGACTGATATGACCTTAACATTCTATTCCATTTTATAGCCATGCTTTTTATTTGGAAAAATATTGCATATCACTAGGTAAAATTCATACTCCAAGAATATAATTCATGTTTACTTCATGGCATTCAACACACTAGCTCATTGCCCAAGAATCTGTAACGGGTGTACATAACCCAAGGATTGCTACCAATGAGAAACTGGCACAGTGAAAAGGCCATCAGTGTCACATGGGTTCGTTCTTTCTTTTTGAAAAGAACTGGTAACCATTTTCAGCAGTCTTAGTGATTATTAGAGTAGCTGGGCATGGTGCCACATGCCAGTAGTTCCAACTATCTGAGAGGCTGAAGCAGGAAGATCACTTGAGTCCAGGAATTTTTTATTTATCTATTTTTGAAACAGAGTCTTACTATACTGCCCTCAATAGAGTGCTATGGCATCACAGCTCATAGCAACCTCAAACTTTTGAGCTTAAGTGATTATCTTGCCTCAGCCCCCCAAGTAGCTGGGACTACAGGTGCCCACTACAACACCTGGCCATTTTTTTTATTGCAGTTGTCATTGTTGTTTAGCTGGCCCAGGCCAGGTTTGAACCAGCCAACCTCAGTGTATGTGTCCAGTGCCCTAACCACTGTGCATTATATGTAAGAACACATAATGATGTCTGCATAATAATGAAATTTCCTAACAATGCATTTCTCAGAATATATCCACATCATGAAACAACACATGACTGTATATTGGACTAAACTAGACATTTATTTATTTATTTACTTCTTGAGACAGAGTCTCACTCTGTTGTCCAGGCTAGAGTGCTGTGGCATTATCACAGCTCATAGTAACCTCAAATTCTTAGACTCATTGGCTTGGTGCCTATAGGCAATTCATTATTATGCAGACATCATTATGTGTTCTTACACAAACCTAGATAGTATAGTTTATTACATACCCAGGCTATATGGTTTAGCTCAGGCGTTCTCAAACTATGGCCCACGGGCCACATACAGCCCACCTAGGACACATATCCGACCCGCCAGATGTTTTTGCTGCTGCTGCCTGTCCTGCTTAGCAGCCAACTCGTCCTAGGGCCCGCAGTCCAGCCCTCGAGTGGTCTGAGGGACAGTGAACTGGGTCCCTGTTTAAGAAGTTTGAGGACCCCTGGCTTAGCTACTATTGTGTCTGTGGTTCACCATTGACAAAAATGTCACTATGTGAACATGACTGTAGTAGAAAAATTTACATCAACTACTTTGAAATCTATAAGAGATATTTAATATGCTTTTTTCCATTAGTGATCTTAATTCATTATTCTGGTGAGGAATCAAAAAATTAAATCATTCCTTCTTTATAAAAGTTCTTAGAATAGCATTTTATGTGTTAGGAACTGAAAATCCAATTCTAAGGGAAAAAATGTCTTTACCAGTGACTTTGCTGTCCTTTCTTAAGAGTTTGTAGTACTTAAGAGTACTTTAGGCTTTTACCTGATAATTTGATTTGAAAATCTGTGCTTATATTGTAGGAATGTTACGTGTTAGTTGTATGTATTTCATGTCATTAAAACCTAAGAAACTGCTTTTTAGTTTATGAAAGTTGATAAAATAAATTGTAGAGCTTTTTTACGTCAACGATCTTATCATTGTGCTCCCAAACATCTGCATGAATCGGTAACCCAGAAATTCAGATGCAGTATAAAAATGAACAAGTAACTTTGCATTTCATGTAAAAAGACCCTTGTGATGTGGCCTCTGGCTCTCTATCATAATAGTCAGCAATTACTCAGTTACAAACTACACTAGAGTCTTAAATTTCTATAAATGTTTAAACAAGCTATGCTTTCCCTCTGGCTACATTTCCTTCACTCCTTTTCTCCTTTTTGGTCCATCCCTCCCAGAGCAGGGAGGGTGCGCACTTAACAGTGCTAATTGAAATGGAGGTGATTGGGATATGGGCACAAATATAATATGTATAATACAGGAAGCAATAAGTGCTATGTTAAAATTATAGAGCTATGAGAATTAAAAGAAATTAGTACTAAGGGCTGGGCATAGTTGCTTGTACCTATAATTCCAGCACTTTGGGAGTCTGAATCAGGAGGATCATTTGAGGCGAGGGGTTTGAGACCAGTTTAGGTAACATAGCAAGATTCCATGTCTATAGAAGACAAAATTAGTTGGGCATTGTGGCACACACCTGTAGTCCTAGCTACTTGGGAGGCTTGAGCCCAGGATTTGAAGGTTACAAGGAGCTATTATCATGCCATTAACACTCCAGCAGCCTGGGTAATAGAGTGAGGCCCTAGCTCAAAAAAAATGGAAGTAATGAATTCTTTTCTGGAGTGAACCAGTAAAAAGAGGTAAGGAGAATAATGTTCATCAGGAACAGCAAATTCTAAATCTGCATAGAATATTAAAGTGAGAGATAAGGTTGGAAAAGGAGAGTTAAATTCGGAAGTAAGGACTTGGACCTTATTTTGGTAGAAATTTAAAAGATTTTTTTGTTTGTTTGTTTGTTTGTTTGTTTGTTTTTTGAGACAGAGTCTTACTATGTCCACCCTTAGTAGAGTGCTCTGGCATCACAATTCACAGCAACCTCAAACTCTTGGGCTTTAGTGATTCAGCCTCCCAAGTAGCTGAGACTACAGGTACCTGCCACAACACCTGGCTATTTTTTGTTGTAGTTGTCATTGTTGTTTAGCAGGGCCAGGCTTGAACCCACCAGCTGCAGTGTATGTGGCTGATGCCCTAACCACTGAAATACAGGAGCTGAGCCTGAAAGATTTTTTTTTTTCCTTGAGACAGAGCCTTAAGCTGTCGCCCTGGGTAGAGTGCTATGGCATCACAGCTCAAGCAACCTCCAACTTCTGGGCTCAAGTGATTCTCCTGCCTCCGCCCCCAAGTAGCTGGGACTACAGGTGCCCACTGCAACGCCCAGCTATTTTTTGGTTGCAGCCATCATTGTTGTTTGGCGGGCCCGGGCTGGATTTGAACCCACCAGCTCAGGTGTATATGGTTGACGCCTTAGCTGCTTGAACCACAGGCGCTAAGCCAAAAGATTTTTTTTTTTTTTAATCGAGGAAGAGATGTGACCATCCTTACTGAAGTAAGTCCATCAGCAGTATTTAGGAACTGTGAGGTTGTAGGCAGAATTACATAATAATTCTGCTTTCTCATCTAAATGAGGATTGTATTTGGGATATGGCAATAAGGTAATGGTAATGGTTCTTTTTCTAATACAAAGTCATTTCCTATAGCAGGGAGACAAAAGGATCCTTTCCATACTGTGGCTATTACCAAAACATTTTTGAATGCTTTTGGAATTGTCTTCAGAACCCATATTATATTCTTTTGTGGTGGTAAATATTTTTCTTTCATCACTGGTACAATCTTAAGACTAGCTAATTCACTTTGAAAGAACTGCTTTTACAAATTAAAACATGTTACATCCATTTTCCTGCTATAAATCCTCCTTTGCTTCACACAAAAACTTTTGTTAATACTAGTTAACTGGCTCGGCACCTATAGCTCACCCGGCTAAGGCGCCAGCCACGTACACCTAAGCTGGCGGGTTCGAATCCCCAGCCCGGACCTGCCAAACAACAATGACGGCTGCAACCAAAAAATAGCCGGGCGTTGTGGCGGGCGCCTGTGGTCCCAGCTACTTGGGAGGCGGAGGCAGGAGACTCGCTTGAGCCCAGGAGTTGGAGGTTGCTGTGAGCTGTAATGCAATGGCACTCTACCCAGGGAGACAGCTTGAGGCTCTGTCTCAAAAAAAAAAAAACTAGTTAACTTTATTTTATAACTATGTAGTTGCTCATGTGCCTTTTATATACCTGCTTTTATTAGTAAGTGTTTTATTCACGTAACTTGGCAAAGGATTGAACAAATTTTAATAATAGAATATTCTGGGTTGAATCTAATATTAAATAAATAGTTGTAAAATTTTTGGCACTTGATAAAGTAAAAGTAGTGAAAAGCACCATGAGTCATTGTTTCGATGTAATTCTAAGATTATTCCTAAACTTCCTTATAGAATTCTGTTTCTAGAAATAATAACACTTTGGTCACTTAAAAAATTTTAACTGTAGTTTTTTCAACCATATGTAATGATTAAGGAGAATATGTGAACATGATTTTCTTTTTAAGGAAAAGGAACGATTGAAGCAAGAAAAACGTGATGAGAAAAGATTAAATAAAGAGCGTAAACTAGAGCAACGAAGATTAGAATTAGAAATGGCAAAGGAACTAAAGAAGCCTAATGAAGACATGTGCTTAGCAGACCAAAAGGTAACTTAGATAGCATGTAAGCCATTTCATTAATATGTTTAATTTTTCCAGTTTTCTCATCTGATTTTTTTTGCCAGAGCTGCCATTATGAAAACCTTTCATTTTTAACTAAAGCAATGAAATTCCAAGTCTAGATCAATTTGTCTCTCCACCAATAAACTTCTCGGAAGCTCCTATGTTGATAGTGGCAGTTCTTAATATATTAAGTAGAACACTGCCTACCTTTTTAATATAAGTAGAAATTGATAATTTCTACTTATAAGTAGAAATTAATAATTTAATACTGCAGAAATCTACAAAGAAGAATTATAGAAGTAGATAGGATTTTCATGTTTCTTTTGGTCCTACCCAAGTATTCAGGCACAGAAAAATCTGACTCCTCCCCATTCCCCCATATATGTTTAAATAAATTAGGATTTATAATCTGTAACCTCTTCAAATGGTTTGGTAACAGTAACCAATCTTCACTGAGCATGTTTACTACCTGTCAGGCTTACATGAATTCTCTCAGGTAATCCTTAATGCAATCCTATGGAGTTGGTATTTATTCCCATTTACAGGTGAGAAAATTGAGACACAAACAGGTTAAGGAATTTGCCCAAGATTATACAACAAATAAATGGCAATTTGGATTCAAGCCCGAGTTTGTTAAACTCTGAAGTCCATACTGTTTATCATTCTAAAAGCTAAGAAACTATGTCTAACCAAAGCATCTCATGTGTTTAATTTCTCATGGTGCTTCATGGCCAAATAATGTTGCTAAAATACATAAAAGTAGAAATTTAGAAAGATCACAGTGATCTTGGCAACTGACATCAATTATGAAATGAATTATGTTTTAACTACAATGAAGAAGATGGTATTTCTAGAAAAATATATCAGTGCACATCATCTCTGTAATACTGTCCCATAACATATTATTATACTTGGTTAGTAGCATCAGTATTTACTGATAAGCCATATTCATCTGATTGTCTTTTTTTTTTAAGATTTTTTATTAAATCATAGCTGCGTACGTTAATGTAATCACAGGGTACAGTGTGGTGTTTTCATATACATTTTGAAATCCTCTCATCAAACTGGCCTTCATGTCATTTTCTTAGTTATTGAGTTAAGCCATTCATACTCCGCTTTTAGAAAGATTCACTTGTACCCCTGTAGGATAAACCATAGAGGTGACCCCTCCAATCACCCTCCCTCCATCCATTCCTCCCTCCCCTCCTCCACCCCCTCCCCATAGTCTAAGGCTATAATTAGGTTGTAACAGTCTTATGAAAGCTATAAATTAGTTTCCATTGATTGTCTTTTGATTTATATAAGTTCTTTTCTAAAGTGCTGAAAACAAACTTTAAGTACCCTAGTGGGAATTGAATTATATTAATATTTTATTTATTTACATAGCATAAATGCTTTGAAATAAAAGCATACTTATTCTAATCATTTGGGTGCTTAAATTTACTTCAGCAGAGAATAGGTTGTGCAAATTAATTAACACATTAATAAGTTGATAGAAAGCAAGTATTTTTAATCCTAAGTGGGCTTTATTTTTCTTGCATCTTTTATTTGCATTTTGAATTCATATGTATTCTATCATATATCTAAGTTCATTTAAAGCTATCCATTTATTAGCTTTGTTATGTGAATTTTTAGAATTATATAGAAATATCTATGTCTTACATGGTTTGAGAGAAAGGGAGACTCAGAATTAATTGATTTTTAAGTGATATATAAAAGATTTATATGGCATCTATTACCCATAGTTTTGTGTTTTCACACAATATTGATAGATGATGTCTTTGGTTAGTACAGAGTGGAGCAGCATTTTTGAACAAGGGACCAATTCAGATAAACAAATATTTATAAGTTACCTTTTTTTCCAATTAAAATTTAAAATGCCCTTTTATATTATATTATTGAATGAAAATGTTTTTTTTAACTTAGATTACCGGTTCTTTGAATTTTTTGAATGTCTATGACAACTAGTACTAGAACTTAGTCATTAAAATGTTACAATGTGAGCATATTTAAGAAGTGAAAACAGATAGCTTTCTAATTTTAATACTGGAACTTATATTAATGTTTTGCTAAATATAGGGAAACCTAAAGATCTTTAGTTGCGTTTTAACTGGGTTCAGGTTCAGGGCATGAGTTCTGGTCATGTGGACCTAGGAATTTATCTGCATTTGTTAGCCATAGATAGCCAGCTATACAACCCACAGATGACTGCTATTGGTTTCTGAGCTACCCAAAAAGTAGAGCTTCTGTGAATTTCAAATGTCTCTATCATTAGAAGAAATTAGCATACACACCCCTACTAAGAATGTCCATGATAAAGTACTTTTGAAATGTTTGTTTCTTATGTTACTTAAATTTTGTTCCAGTTATATAATCCATGTTTTATCATTATGAAAGTTAATTAAAATTAGTTATCTCTCTTACAGAGATCTAAGTTCATTTTGAATTCAACCAAAATTTACTGATGATTACTTGCATTCTAGATATTCTGATTACTACTGTGGGGGTTACAGAAATTCCCCCCTTCAGGGAATTTACTGTGTAAATGGAAAAACACTAGTACAATACTTGAGAAAAAAAGTTGGCCACTTATTTTACTTTAGAAGATACAGAAATCATGGTTTTTCAAATTTTTTAAGTTACTTTTAATTTTATTTTTGTATTATTTTGTTTTCAGCCTTTGCCAGAATTGCCTCGTATTCCAGGACTTGTTCTCTCTGGAAGTACTTTTTCAGACTGTCTCATGGTGGTGCAGTTCTTACGAAACTTTGGTAAAGTTTTGGGCTTTGATGTGAATATTGATGTTCCAAACCTGAGTGTTCTTCAAGAGGGATTGCTAAATATAGGGGACAGCATGGGTGAAGTACAAGACTTGCTTGTGAGGCTCCTCTCAGCTGCTGTATGTGATCCAGGTCTAATTACAGGATACAAGGTAAAAAACAAAATACAAAATTGTTTTTAAAATTTGTACTATCATCAGTGCATTGATAGCTATTTTTAACGTATTAGCTAAGATTGTGTAGACTGATCTAATTTTTTCCTCATAATGTCTCACAAAGCATGTAGACTTGCATCAAGTTATAACCTGGTTATAAAGCTTAAGGGATGTAGACCATTCTCAAGTTGCTCTTTTTTCCTCTATCTATAGGCCAAAACTAAGTATATTTGAGGAAGTACCCTGAGTGGTATTTATCAAAAACAGAATACATAAGATAATTAGAACTTGTTTGTACCTCTTGAAGTTAGACTTTGTTTTGTCTTTGTTACTACAAACAACTCAGGGTAATCAAGGCACCTATACACTAGCATGTTAATTCTCCGTGCTACTCAGTGGATACTCAATAAGTTCTAATTTATCTTAGTTCCAATTAAGATACACATTCCAGTAAGCTTTGCTCTTCCAGATGATATCATAGAAAGAGAAGCTTCCAGGTGCACCTATTAGTTTTTCTTCCATTTCCCTATTCATTTTGGTTTTCCAAGCCATAAAACTTGGGGCAACATAAAGCTATTGTAAAGCACAATAATAATGCTTTTAAACCTCACCATCCTACCAGCTTTTCAGGCTCATACTCGAGCACAAAAAGCCTCAGTCCTGGCTTTCCTGCCATGAGTAATAAAATGTCCAGAGGCTCACCAGCCACATGCACCAGGGCTGGCGGGTTCAAGCCCAGTCCGGGCCTGCCAAACAGTAATGACAACTACAACAACAACAAAAATAGCCAGGTGTTGTGGCAGACACCTGTAGTCCCAGCTACTTGGGAGGATGAGGCAAGAGAATCACTTAAGCCCAAGAGTTTGAGGTTGCTGTGAGCTGTGATGCTACGGCACTCTACCAGGGGTGACATGGTGAGACTCTGTCTCAAAAAATAAAATAATAACAATAATAATAAAATGTCTAGATAAAGCTGAGGAAAAGCTTGGGATAGTTTTCTCTAATGAGAGAAGGCTTGATAGATGATTTAAAACTTCTACTTCCCTTGAGTATATGTACTTTTCTCTCTGCTTGACATTAAACCAGCAGTTTGAAGAAGGGACAGAAAAATACAAGTACTTGAATATTTGTCTATCATCTATTGCCTGTTTTTATGAATACTTCATCAAAATTGTTAAAACCCTGGCTTGGCGCCTGTAGCTTAGTGGCTAGGGCACCGGCCACATCCACTGGTCTGGCAGGCTCAACCCTGGCCCCCAGCCTGCTGGACAACAATGACAACTGCAACAACAACAAATAGCCAGGCATTGTGGCAGGCGCCTATATCCCAGCCTCTTAAGAGGCAGGAGGATCTCTCAAGCCCAGGAGTTTGAGGTTGCAATGAGTTATTGTGATACCACTGCACTCTATCTCAAGCAATAGAGCAAGACCCTGTCTTAAAAAAAAAAAAGTGAATAAAGCCCTTTTCAGTAATATCTAGAACATGTAGTACATGTATTTTTAATCTTATTGCTTTTATGTTATGAATGGTTATGCTTAATGCTGATAAAAATGCCAAACTTTTATAGGCCAAAACAGCTCTTGGAGAACATTTACTGAACGTTGGTGTGAATCGAGACAATGTTTCCGAGATTTTGCAGATTTTTATGGAAGCCCACTGTGGAGAAACTGAGCTTACTGAAAGCCTAAAGACCAAAGCTTTTCAGGCTCACACTCCAGCACAAAAAGCCTCAGTCCTGGCTTTCCTAATCAATGAGTTGGCATGCAGCAAGAGTGTGGTGAGGTAAGCATTTGCCCAGACTTTTCTGTTATTTTTGGTTTTGAATTTGTGTAATCATAAAGTATTACAAATTGATTATAGAAAGTTTGGAAGTTACAGACTAATGAAGAAAATTAAAATTGTATTTCATCTCACCATTTAGAGATCCACTAATAATATTTTAATGTTATTTCTTTGCAGTCTATTGGGGGGGAAATTCGATCATACTATATATATGTAACTGTAGTCCTTGTCTTCTGTTTTGTTTAATAATTTTGTTAATTCCTTATATACTAGAAATTTTGAATACTTTTTTCTTGATATGGTGCCAGAATTCAGGACCATCATAAGATTCTGCAAATTTTCTTTCCTTGACTTTGTTTTTGTTCTTGTTATATAAGACAGAATCTGACTCTGTCACTCTGGGTATAGTGCAGTGGTGTTAGCAGCTCACTGCCTCCTCAAAAACAATCCTCCCTCCTTTTTCTCCCAGAGCTAGGACTACAGGCATGAGTCACTGTACCCAGCCATCCTTGGACATCTTTTGAAGACAGATGACTACCTGATTTTCTTTAGTAGTCATTCATAGAATTATCCAGCCAATGTTCATTTTGTTATTTGCTAGTATAACCTTACATTATTAGTGTATCAATACATTAATTTTTACTTTTTTAGAAAGTACTTAACCTCACTTAGGAGTCAAAATAAATTTTCTAGTACTTGTTACTAACGAAACATTAATACTAATGCTAATACGTCTTTTAAAGTTTGTGAACAAATTCATGTTCATCTTGTCCTTGCTATTTGTTATTTTATAAATTTTAATTATATTACTTTTAGTCCTTTGCCTTTCTAGAAAAAAAGGACCAATCAGAACATTCAAAGCCAAATATTTCTACCATTCATTGCTGGACACTACTAAGTTTTTTCTGCATACATTAGCTATAATACTGTATTAATATGATTTTTTTTTTTTTTTGCTATTCATTGTCTGTCATCCCAAAGAATGTAATAATATTTAGGTTTTAAAATTTTATGAAATTGTGATTTCATTAAGTATGAACAGGGTAACACACAAATTGGATGTAAACGGTATACTATGGTTTTTACCTTAGAAGCAAAAGTACCCCTGTTTGACTTATTACTATCACCAGATGTCATATTCTGAATTTCTGTTTGGATATTTACACACATACACTCAGATTTTATATGTATGTATGTGCATATATGCACCTATCTTAATATCCATCTTTGCATGTATGTTCTGATTTCCCTTTATGGATTTTGGACGTTTTCATATCCCATATGTGCAACAAAACTTGGGATGCTATCTTTCCAGGGAATAGTTTCTTTCATGGTTTAAGGTAAAGCAAAGTGAATTTTCTAATACTAATATATCCAATAAAGAAATTATAAATTTTCAACATGTATGTGCATAGTAAACATATATATGTGTACTGTATTCATATGTATATACACAATCATGTCATTTTACTTAATGTAAATGGATTCTTTTAATAAATTTTTGCATTGGCAGTGAAATCGATAAGAACATTGATTATATGTCAAACTTGAGGAGAGATAAGTGGATGGTGGAAGGTAAACTCCGCAAGTAAGTCCTGTTTTTATTAAAATTAATCTACTATTAAAAAATTAATCTCTTTTTCTATTGTATAAGTTTCCAGTAAAGAAAACAAATTGCAGAGATAGAATTTAAACTTCAATTTTCTAAAGAAAAGATAGCAAAACAAATAAAGAAAAAATAGTGCTTAATTAGGATGGAATATAAAATTAATAAAACTTGGAGCCAGAATTTGCAATGGACAAAAGATATAATGAAATTTACTGAGCTTATAGTCTTCCTACTTAGAAGAAATGAATTTTCTCCTTCTTCTTTCCAAGAAGACAAACAATCACATTCTCTAAGATTGTTGTTGCTGTCATGTCACTTTTATCATAAATAGAATCTGTTACTACCACTTTTTTAAAAATTGCCTCCTAATTAAACTCTGCTTTTACACATCCTAATTAAACTTACTCAAAATTAAACCTAAATTATCCTCCTGTCAGGAAATATCATGCTAAAATTTCACAACTTCTTTCTTTTTTTTTTCCTTGAGATAGAGACTTATTTTGTCACCATTTGTATAGTGCCATGGCATCATAGCTCACAGCAACTTCAAACTCTTGGGCTCAAGTTATCCTCCTGTCTCAGCTTCCGAGTACGGAACTACAGGCTCCAGGCTGTTTTTAGAGATGGGGGTCTCACTCTTGCTCAGGCTGGTCTCAAACTTCTGAGATCAAGCAGTCCACCTTCCCCTCCCTCCCATAGTGCTAGGATTACAGACGTGAACCGTCAAGCCCAGCTTCCTCAGCTTTTGTATTAAGCATGTAGTTTCTTTACAGTAATTTGATTTGAAATTTATTTAATCAGATAGTATAGGATCAGAAATTGTCACTTTGTCTGCCATTATTAGAATTCATCTTTTTTTAGTAGTATTTTTAAATGTGTTCTTGTTCTAAAGAGATATTTAGAATAACTATTGAAAGTTATTATATTCTGTAATTTATGGAAACATGTTTCGGGGCAGCACCTGTGGCTCAAGGAGTAGGGCGCTGGCCCCTTATACTGGAGGAGGCAGGTTCAAACCCAGCCCCGGCCAAAAACCACCAAAAAAAAGAAAGAAATATATTTCTTATATTTCCTTAATTCTAAGTTTTAGTGCCACTGATATATTGCTTATCATAAAAGAAAAACTATAAGGTATTTCTGCTTAAAAATCATGTTTTACATTTTTAAAAGATTATGAAGAAGGCTTTTATTTCATATCATCATTTTTTAAATAATATTTAAAGGCTTAGAATCATTCATGCTAAGAAAACTGGCAAAAGAGACACTTCAGGTGGCATTGATCTTGGAGAAGAGCAACATCCTTTGGGCACACCCACTCCAGGACGAAAAAGAAGAAGGAAGGGAGGAGACAGTGATTATGATGATGACGACGATGATGATAGTGACGACCAAGCTGATGAAGACGATGAGGATGAAGAAGATAAAGAAGACAAAAAAGGAAAGAAGACTGATACCTGTGAAGATGAGGTAATCAAATTTAGGGTGATTTTAAGACTTAAGTACAACTGGGTAACACTAAAAATAATTTGGAGTCAAATGGATTTGGATTTGAATTCAGTCTTGACATTTATTTCCCTCAGTTTCTTCATCTGAAAAGTTAATATTACAATATTTATTACAATAAGTTCTTTGTGATGATTATGTAAATATTGAATAGAATGTCTAAATAAAAAGGACACTTCTTAAACAAGTTTTTTTAATATATACTGTATTTTGTAATAAATATAAGGAATAAGGATGCACATTAGACATGGGTAGTCTAATGGCTCAGGAGCAAAGGTACCTAGCGGGACTCTTGGGGCCTCTGCACCTTCCCTCCTGGGCCTGCTTGGTACATTGGGTTCCAGCCATAGAGGATCTGGGATCAGGAGGAAGGAAGCCCGAGTGGCCTCTGCTGAGCAGGAGAGTAGGAAGGGCATGGTGGTGGGGCTGATGAGGTGGGATGAGGTAAGCCACAGCCATGTAGGACGAGGGCTGAAGCCCAAGGCCCAACTGCACGGATGATACTGGGAATCCCACACAGGCCCCAGGGACCCACCTGCTGCCCGCAGGCTGAGTTCCCACCTTGCCACCATGTGCTTGGCCATCTCTGAGGCAGCACCAACATGGCAGGGAGGGAGGAGCAGCCTTTACAGAGCCAGCAGCTGCAGGAGTACTGTGCAGTCTGCATGTTTACTAGCCTGCATCTGTTTTTACTGGCTAACGGCCAGCCACTTTATTGAAGGGCATTTTCTTGAAAGTCTGGACCCAAAGTACGGGTGCATGTTATACACCAGAATGCATTTTACACTGCAAAATACTGTATTACCTGTGAATTCTTCAAAGAACTATACAGATTTTTTTTTTTTTTTTGAGACAGTCTCATTATGTTGCCCTTGGTAGGGGGCTGTGGTATCACAGCTCACAGCAACCTCAAACTCTTGGGCTTAAGCGATTCTCTTGTCTCAGACTCCCAAGTAGCTGGGACTACAGGTGCCCACCACAACGCCCAGCTATTTTTGTTGTTGTTGTTTAGCAGGCCCTAACCAGGTTAGAACCCACCAGCCCCAGTGTATGTGGCCAGTGCTGTAACCACTTAGCTATGGAAGCCAAGCCTATATTTGGGATTATTTATATTCTAACAGCTTGATGTGTTCAAAATATACCTTTTTCACTCTAAAAATGAAAGGGTACCTTTAGTTAAGGGTACCATTATTATATTTTTGCATTCTTCTAGATTTAAAACCTTAACATCTTCTCCCACATGCCTCCTTGCTTCAAATTTATGAGTTGCCAGAACTTAACAATTCTATAAATATGTAAGATCTTTGCATCTATTAGCCTTTGTCCATTTTTCTTTCTTTTACCCTAGCAAGGCCCATACCTCCTCTTTCTCTTGAAAGCACTCTATTGGCTAGTTTTGCCAATTTTAATACCTTTCTCTGCTCCAAGCCATCTTACAGCTGTTGCCAGATTAATCTTTATAAAGCAGAGTTCTGATATTTAACCTCCTTCAGAGGATCTTATTATTTTTAATTGCAAGTATTTACAGCTCTTTACAATCTTGCCTTATTTCTTACCTTACCTCTTCTTATGCACCTTTCATGTCAAGATATGTCAGACTTTTTATGGAATGCCCTTTTCTACTTCTGGACCCCAGAAGGACCCACAACACCCTATCCTCTTCTTTTCTCTGACTGATAAAATTTTTAACCATTTTGGGACATTGTAGAAATGTTAAAAAAACACAAATTTTTAACTATTCTTTTTTTTTTTTTTTTTGAGATAGAGTCTCAAGCTGTCGCCCTAGGTAGAGTGCTGTGGTGTCACAGCTCACAGCAACCTCAAACTCTTGGGTTTGAGCAGTTCTCTTGCTTCAGTCTCCCGAGTAGCCGGAACTACAGGCGCCTGCGCCTGCCACAACACCCGGCTATTTGTTGTTATTGTTGCAGTTGTCATTGTTGTTTTAGCTGGCCCAGGCCAGGTTCAAACCTGCCAGCCTCAGTGTATGTGGCCAGCACCCTACCTACTTAGCTACAGACGCCTCCCTTAACTATTCCTTAGTAGTTAGTTAAAATATAACTTCTTCCATATAGCCTCTCTTGGCGTAGAATCTCTTTTGAAATCCTTATAAATGTAGCTTCCTACTATTTAGGGGTTTTTTTCCCAATATAATGTTTTGTGTTTCCTTACCAGATCATTAGTTTATAGAGAAAAACTTATTTGTTCCCACAGTGCCTCTCCTGGTACTTTATATATAGGAGACATTCGTTATTTGTTGATAGATTGAATAAACCATAAAAGCAGATAAATGATACTGTATTTTCTTATGTATGTATAGGATGAAGGTGACCAAGCAGCAAGTGTTGAAGAGCTAGAAAAACAGATTGAAAAACTGAGTAAAGTAAGCCCTTTTCAGATTAATATTATTTGCATCTTTTTGCAGTGTTTTGAAAATCTGCATTGCATGAGGATTCATTTTTTCTGACTTTTAAGTAAAAATAAGTTTTTTGTTAGCAACTAAAATGAAGATTAAACCTTAAAAGTTTAATGCCTAGATTAAAAGCCTGCCTCTAACATGTGATGCTGAACTTAATTAGAGCCTATGGAAAGAACATTGTGTATTCTTCAGCTCTTTATATAGAAACAAAGTATCGATACAGACGTAGCCTTATTTCTTAAAATGGATTACTCAAACATTCAGCTGAATTTCATGGCAACTGTTTTAGCCTCTTAAGGTTTTATTTAACATGTGTACATTCATGGATTTTATTTGTATTGGATTTGTAAACCATGTATATTTATGTGCTTCTCATTAAAAACTAAATTTCACCATTAGTGAAGTTTAAGTTGAGCTTTTTATAAGAAAAATATTTTTTTAATTATTAGACGATGCCTGCGTATTGTATCAATGTTAGCTTTATTACAGATCTGTCCTAAAACTTAATCATGTATTATCTAAGTTTGCAGCATGAGTATGAATATAAGCAACTATAGATTTGGCCAGTTACAAATATAATTTGTTATATAATACAATCAATAAAATTGAACCAATTTGCTTTGGATCAGTAAAACACTTTTACCACATTATTTATTATCAGGTATAAGACATTCTATACTCTAAGACACCTAATAAAATAAAACTTCTTTTTTTAATTCATGGCAACAAAAAATATTCCAATTTTCTTAAAATAACTTCTGTCTTTACAAATGTTACTGAAATTAAAGTCAGGGATATAATTTAGCCCTTTTACTATCTTTTTTCAGTAGTAAAATTCTAAAGGCATAGTAACTATAAAGTTGCTTTTAATTTTTAAAGCATTTAACATCCATAACTTAATTATATGTACTATTTTTTTTTAACAGCAACAGAGTCAGTACAGAAGGAAGCTCTTTGATGCTTCTCACTCATTACGTTCAATGATGTTTGGCCAGGATCGTTACAGACGCCGGTACTGGATTCTTCCCCAGTGTGGAGGGATCTTTGTAGAAGGCATGGAGAGTGGTGAAGGTAGGAAACATTTATCTATTACAAAGTATTTAATACAAAAATATATCAAATACAAAACTATTACAAAGTATTAAATACAAAACCCTATTACTTCTTTGGTATATTTTGTGCTTCCATGATCAAGTCTGCTTTACTGATAAACAGGTAAAACCTTGATTCCTATTTCTTTTGAATTTATAATATCTCTTTTATTGATAAATATTTTCTTCCTATCCTTGATTTTTCTTTCTGACATAAAACATAAATTGTTTTTTTTTTTTTTTAGTGGTCAAAGAACTTCAACTGTATTATCCTTTATAGCTATTGTTTGACTACTATTCCTGTTGTTAAAATTCTCAACATCTAGTTTATCGTTAACTTTTGCAATAAACATCCATCCTGATAGTACCCCTGGAAGAAACTTGTTTAAGTCTAAGATCTTTATTGTAATCCTTATTCCTTATCAAATACTATTTATGTTTAAAATTTGAGATCACTTTCTTCTCCTTTAAACTTCCTTTCTTGAATTTTGTGTTACCACCAGTTCTTGATAGTTTGGCTTTAGACTCTTCTTTTGCTGCTTCATCTCTGTTACATTAACTTGCACAGTACGTTATACATTTATGTGTTCAATAAACCTTCAACTTTTCAGAACTCAACGTTTGAACGTTTCCAAATATCTACACTGTGATGAGAACAAAAATGTTATTTCAGTGCTTAAAGATTGCAGAATGTAGCTATTGATCCATGGCAGTACATGGGAGCAAAAACATCTTTCAACAATTTTTTTTCTTGAAGAATATTTATTATTATTTTTATATACAGAGAACTCAACAGTGTACATTTAGCCCAGTTTAGTGGCAAGTTCTTTAGTTTTTGCCTTTTCCAACTTGGCAATGAGAGCCACGCATTTTGCCTTCCCTTTGATAATGCAGTAAGGGACCCCCATCTTCCAACACAGGGCAGGCAGGAAGACAGCCAGCTCAGTGGGATCCACATCGTGTGCAGTCACCACCAGCTGAGTCTTCTTGTTCTCCACCAAGGTGGTGACAGTGTTAATCCCTGCTCTAAGGTCAGGTGGTCTCTTAGTGGGGACATCCCCTTTGCCTGCAGCTTTCCTCTCAGCTTCCCCTTGTAGAGGATGGTGGCTCTTTGCCGCTGCAACCGGACGTAGCAGGATCATTTGATAAAGCAGGTGAGGTCCCTCTTGGGCTGGATGTCCTGTCTAGTGCTGAAGTTCTTTGGACTTTTCTTGAACAGAGGGTTCACCACCTTCTTGGCCTCCTGCTTCTTCACCACAGTGGGGGCCAGAGCCACCTTCTTCCCCTTGGCCTTCTTTACTTTCAGCATCTTGAACTGCTGGTGCAGAGCTCAATACATTTGTTTACTACCTACTATATGGTAGGCATTGCTAGATACTGCAGGAGGCACAAAGCTATATAAAACACAATCCATGTAATGAAGAGGTTTATAGTCAATTGGAGAGAAAGGACTGATTAATCATGTAAGTGACTCTAATAGAAATTGTAAATAAAACAGTTGTTTTTAAGCTTTTGTTTCTAGCAGTGGACTCACCACCTTTTTCATGTTTTTGATTTTAATAGATTGATGGGAGTACAAGTTAGATTACATTGCATATATCTATTGTATTGTCGTGAAGTCAGTGCTTTTAGTGTGCCCATCACCCAAATAATGTGTGCAGTGGCTCATGCCTGAACCCAATTTTTAATCCCTCACCCATTGTAAATCTCCAGTGTCCATTATACAACTCTGTGTACCCTGTGTAGCCATAGCTTAGCTATTACTTATATGTGAGAATATGTGGCCTTTATTTTTCTGTTCCTAAGTTACTATTCTTAGGATAATAGCCTCCAGTTCCATGCAAGTTGCTGCAAAAGACAGTATTTCATTCTTATTGCTGAGTATTTCTTATTTTTGTGATTTGTGAATTATTCTGCCATACACATACAAATGCAGGTATCTTTCTGATACAATGATTTCTTTATCTCTGCGTATATACCAGTAGATGGATTGCAGGATCAAATGGTAGATATACTTAACTTCTTGGAGAAGTCTCCATACTGATCTCCATAGAGGTTGTTCTAATTTATATTCCCATCAAGTGTGTAAGTGTTCTTTTTTCAGCATATCTGTACCAACATTTATTGTTCTTTGGCTTTTCCATAATGGCCATTCTTGCCCTTATCAGTATTGGGGGGAGAAGATAGATAGATAGATAGGTAGATAGATAGATAGACGCCATTCTGACAGGGGTAAGGTGGTATCTCATTGTGGTTGTAATTTTCATTTCTCTGGTGACTAGTATTGTTCAACATTGTTTCATGTTTTTTGGCCATTTGTATATCTTCTTCTGAAAAATGCCTGTTCATGTAATTTGTCCACTTTTTAACAGGGTTGTTTTTTTCTTGCTGAGTTGTTTGAATTCCTTGTAGATTCTAGGTGTTAAGTCCTCTGTTGGATTTGTAGTTTGTGAATATTTTTTCCCACTCTGTAAGTTGTCTATTTAGTTTTTATTTTTTTATGGTTCAGAAGCTTTTTAGGTTATTTAAGACCCAATTGTTTTTGTTTTTGTTGCATTTGCTTTTGGAGTCTTAATCATAAATTTTTCACCTGTGCTAATGTCCAGAAGAGTTTTTCCTAGGTTTTTCTTCTAGGATTTGTATGGTTTCAGTTCTTATATTTAAATCTTTAGGGAGGCACCTGTGGCTCAGTGAGTAGGGTGCTGGCCCCATATACCAAGGGTGGCGGGTTCAAACCCAGCCCCGGCCAAACTGCAACAAAAAATAGCTGGGCGTTGTGGCGGACACCTGTAGTCCCAGCTACTTGGGAGGCTGAAGCAGAAGAATTGCCTAAGCCCAGGAGTTGGAGGTTGCTGGAGCGACTCCATTGCACTTTACTGAGGGTGAAAAAGTGAGACTCTGTCTCTACAAAAAATAATAATAATAATTAATAAATAAATAAATAAATAAATCTTTAATACATCTTCAGTTGGCTGGGCGCAGTGGCTCACACTTATAATCATAGCACTCTAGGAGGCTGGGGTGGGTAGATAGCTTGAGCTCATGAGTTTGAGACCAACCTGAGCAAAAGCGAGACACCCCCCCATCTCTACTAAAAATAGAAAAACTGAGGCAAGAGAATCTCTTGAGCCCAAGATTTGGTGGTTGCTGTGATCTGTGACACAACAGCACTCTACCCAGGGCAAGAGCTTGAGGTGCTTGTCTCAAAAAAAAAGAAAAGAAAATACATCTTGAGTTAATTTTTTTGTATATTGTGAGAGATAGCATTTCATTCTTTCATAGAATAGCCATAGCATTTCATTCTTATGCTATGGCTATGCAGTTTTACCCAGTACTATTTATTGAATAGTGTGTCCTTTCCCCAATGTATGTTTTTGTCTGGTTTGTTGAAAATCAGTTGGTTGTAGGTGTCTGATTTTATTTTTGTGTTCTCTATTCTGTTCTATTGATATGTGTTCCTACTTTTATGCCAGTACCATGCTGTTTTATTTACTGTAGCCTTGTATTAGGTCATTAAGTATGAAATGTTCAATTTTTATATCAAACATTTAGTTTATTATATCTCAAACAAGAAGCAGTATAATTAATCAAAATGTGTGTCTAAACTATCAACAGTTTTGCCATCTTAACAATAGCTTGTATATGCCAGCAACAAAGAAGCCTGCAGAGTAAGTGGTGATAAAATTGCAAAAGGCATTTCCATAACTTTTAAGAGTTGAGTATTTTTCCTTGCAAAAAGTGGTCCAAAGCCTGGAAGAAGTGGTAGTCCATTGGTGCAAGTTCTGGTAAATACAGTGAATGACAGAATTTCTGTGGTTTGAACATCGTTTTTGGTGCAACAGCATTGTGTCACAAGTGGATTGGCCTGACCCTGTTGACCACTCTCATCTGCTCAATCACAAACATTCTCATCATGTCATCCAATTTATAATAAATTGACCAAATTTCATGAAATAGTAGATAATACTAGCACTAGACCACCAAATAGACACCATTAGTTTTGGGGTATTTTTGACAGATATTCAGTTTTGGACTGTGTTTTGGCACTTCATCTTTACCCAACCATGTCTCAAATGCTTGTAATTGTCAAAAAGAATCCATTTTTTCATTTTCATCATGTAACAATATAGCATAGAAATGGTTTACCCTTGCGTTGTGACAGCAAAGAAAGCTTCAAGATGATGTCTCTTCTGACACTAATTTAATTCATCAGAACCCATCTATCCAGCTTCTTTACCTTGACAATTTGTTTCCAATGGTCCAATAGCATTAGAGTAGTAATGTCAAACTTCACTGCTAATTCACACAATAGGTTGAAATTGATTCACTTCCACTACAGCTTTCAGCTCATTATTATCCACTTTGATCTCAGGTCACCCACATGGTTCATTTTCAAGATTAAAATCACCAGAATGGAACTTCTCAAACTATGGAAGTACTATGCACTCATTAGCCATGTTATTCCCAAATACTTTCTTGGCATTTCAAGCTGTCTTCTATATTGCATTGGTTCCATGATGAAACTCATGTTCAGAAATAACAAATTTTTATGACTCATTCATGATCACAAAAATTGCTATAAAATAAATATTTGAAAGATAATCACAAGCCAAAATGTGCATTTGAGAGAATGAGGATGTACCTTCACACTAAAAAAAAAAAGACAAGAAATGTTGAAGTGTAATGTCAGAAATATCAACTGTCAAACTTAGTACTTAAGGAAATCAGACACTTTTTTTTTGAGACATTGTCTCAAGCTATTGCCCTGGGTAGAGTGCCGTGGCATCACAGCTCATAGCAACCTCAAACTCTTGGGCTTAAGCAATTCTCTTGCCTCGGCCTCCCAAGTAGCTGGGACTATAGGCACCCACCACAACACCCAGCTATTTGTTTGTTGTAGTTGTCGTTGTATGGCAGGCCTGGACTGGATTTGAACCAGCCAGCTCCAGTGTATGTGGCTGGCACCCTAGTAGCTTGAGC